CAGGGGTTGGCCCCGGCCGTGGGCCCCCCCCCCCCCCCCAGTGTCTGGGATGAAAATACGTGTATGAAATCAGACCAGAGCAAAAAGTGTCCCTGAGCAGGTGCAAAGTGCATCTCTCTGATTACTGAGTAAGTAAGACCTTGAATTGGCAAAAACCAGACACTTCTGGTGGGACAAGACTGGGCTTGGGAGGGGAATAGCAACATCTCCAGAAACTCTCCACCTGTGCTGTTGCAGTGCAGTCATCTGATGTATTTATATATTGCCCTTTGAGCCACATCAGGGTACTGGAGAACTGAACCCCAGAGCTTATTCAAGGTTTGGGGACTTAGACACAGCGTGTGCAAATGAGTGCTAAAGCCTTTGGGCTTCTGTGAAGCGTTTTTCTTTACCACTCTTGTCACCAATGTTCCCTCTAAGCCATGGAGTCTTGTGAGCAAAAATTCTGCTTTGTGAGCTACTGGCATTAAAATTGTGAGCGAGCAATTCAGCTGCTGCATAAATGAGTTTGCTCTGGAGCCATCCTTCCTGAGCTAAGGCAAAAATGTGTGAGCCAGAGGCTAAAAAACTGTGAGCTGGCTCACACTAACTCAGCTTAGAGGGAACACTGCTTGTCACCACAACTTACACCTACATGTATAGGGTTAAGGAAGAAGGCATCCAGAGTGGCAATCATGAACTTGGATGCAGATCTGAGCTTTGGTGTCTCGTGTTTTAGAAATCAAGCAGCAGCACTGAGGTCCTGTCCCCCCCCTCTGCCCCCCCCCCCCGTTACTAATTGTGTGGTAACATTTTTCTCCTGCTGTTCATACAGCCTATTTTGCAAGGCTTTGCAGAAGTACAGAAAATGTACTTCTGCAAAACCTGTGCTGAAGCACTTGTCTACTCACTTGTTTACCTCTGACTTGGTTGCGAAGGTACTCAGGTCATATGCTGCTTGGCCTGAAGAAGGTCCTAGGTTCAGTCTCTGGAAATCTCCAGCTGAAAGGTTCAAGTTGTAGGTGACATGAAAGACGTCTGCCTGAAAACTTGGAGAGCCAGTCTGAGTAGACAGTACTGACTTTGATGGGCCAGTGGGCAGCTTCATGTGTATATACGTCTTATCCAAAATCAGTGGTGTGGCTTGTCCCTTCATTACCTCCATACATGCTGCCACATCTGATAGAGGCAGGAATTGTAAAAGTTGAGGAAGAACTCTGAAAGCTCTGCGGCTTTTCCACATGTAACTTTTAAAGCTGGGGATGTTTTCTGTCTCAGTATATTGAATAAAAGAGTAATGTTAACCAGAATATGATTTAAAGAAGGCTTCTGTACTACTTTGCATTAATAACATCCTCAAGTGACACAGTGAAGACAAAAAGGTATTCTGTCATGTACAAAAATATCTTCCATAAAATAAATCTGAAAAAAAATATCTTCAATTTGCCTTTTCTGTGAATTTCCTGGCTTCTTTACTTTCCTTGCCTTTTGACCTTCCCTTGAATATGGAGTTCAACAAGAGATCCAGAGCACCAGTGCTCGCTTACATGGCTAACAGTGCAGTCCGAAGAACACGTTCCTGAAAGTAAGCCCATCGAATAGACCTACATAGGATTTGTTTTGATGGGTGCAATCCTAAACAGTTACACCTTTCTGAGCCCACTGACTTCAGTAGACTTGGAAGGGTTTTACTGTGGTTAGGACCAATGTTCCCTCTAAGCTGTGGAGTCTTGTGAGTGAAAATTCTACTTTGTGAGCTTCCGGCATTAAAGTTACAAGCGAGCGATTTGGCTACTGCATAAATTAGTTTGCTCTGGAGCCATCTTTCCTGACCTGAAACAAAAATGTGTGAGTCGGAGGCTAAAAATCTGTGAGCTAGCTCACACTAACTCAGCTTAGAGGGAACATTGGTTAGGACTGGGTTGCAAAGGAGCAGATCTGCTTGGAAGCAAGTCCTACATTAGTCAGCGGTGCTTACTCTAAAGTATTCTTAGTATTGCAGCTGGAATGAATTAAAGCTATAGGTTAACTAATTACAGCCATATTCTCATTCTCTCTCTCTCTCTCTCTCTCTCTCTCTCTCTCTCTCAAAAAAAAAAAGGGGGGGGGGAGAAACCTCTCTCCCTCAAAAAAAAAAAAGGGGGGGGGGGAGAAAGAAACACCAAGCACAGAATTGTTTCTTCCTTGTCACATGGCCACTTGGCAGTAGCAGAAATACTGAGCTTACAGTGAAATATGTTTTTCCCCCCTATTCCCCTCCCCCACCTTTCTCTGGGAGCCCTTTGACATTGTTAAATTCAGGCTGTCTGGGAGCAGGTTCTCAGGAAGCCCCCCATCTGCTTCCACAGCATCTTGTGACTGAGCAGAGTAATCAGTTTGTTTGAGTTAAGCATTCGCCTAAGGTACTGACCACAGCACTTACTGTGTTCCTAAGTCTATCTTGGAATCTTTTTCCAGGCACTGTAGATGTTCAGATGTGGTTCCAAATAGTAATAAGAGGGCAGCTCAAGCTATGTTTGTATATTGTACTACCCATTGGTTACCACTGTTCCTGCAGATGCACTTTCCCTTCCAGTTAGTCATGTCTTGCTTGCATTATATACTTTGTAATAAAATAGAAAGTTACTCCTCCAGAACTTTAAATTAAATATTCCTCTGCTTAATTACGTACATGTGCACAATTGCCGGTGAGGTCCCTGCCTCTTGATCATCATTTTAAAAAACCATTCTCTCCCTCTCCCCGCCTATGAACCACTTGCACAGGTCCACTAGACAATTGTCAAGCAGTCATTTAAATAAATATATTGCAGAAAGTCAATCACGCTTATTCAAGTCAGTGTTAAATTGCTTAAAACGAGTGGAAAGTAAAGATTGTTCAATCAAGCATTTACATTATTGCTGATATTTTGAAATCAGCTCCAACGGCTGGAATTGGGGGGGGGGGAGTCTTGATCCAGTTATTGTGTATTTTTTCAAATAAAATATAGCAGAGTTTTCCCTCCCATACTCTGGGCCTTTAAAAAAAAATAGCTTGTCTTAAAAACTGGGTTGCCTTTATATTTAGAATCTTTTCATACACTTTTTTGATTTGGTATGGAGCATTGTTGCCATATTCCATAGATAAAGGTTTCCCTTGCTTGAAAGCTAGTCGAATCTGACTCTAGGGTTGCAGTGCTCATCTCCGTTTCCAAGCCAAAGAGCCAGCATTGTCCAAAGACGTTTCCATGGTCATGTGGCCGGCATGACAACACTGAGGCGTACAGAGCGCTGTTACCTTCCCACTGAAGTGGTACCTATTTATCTACTTGCAATTTCCTGCTTTCAAACTGCTAGGTTGGCCGGAGCTGGGGCCAGAGACAGGAGCTCACTCCATCATGTGGCATACTTGGGTCTCGAACTGCCAAGCTACAGACCTTCCGGTCTGTAGCTTCAGCATTTTAACATCTGAGCCACCGCCATAGAACATGGCTTTAGAATAGTGGTGCTTTTTGGTGGATGTTATTCAAAAGGCTGAATATATTTCATCAACAGTATATTCTTTCTACTCTGTCATTGATTTAAGTAGTAGAGCCTTGCAAATGATTTATTGATGGCTTCGGTTAATCTGTAATGGTGCCCTGGTATTATGAGATGATCTCAGATTCTCTCCCTTTAAGTTGATTTATATGTTGGGCTGCCACAGTGCCCTAACCATACATCTATGCTTTTCTGTCACCATTGCCACACTGACAGACTGCTCACTGGATCTAGACACTCCTCCCTTGTATGAAAGAAAGGCTGGCCTGGTGTAATGGCTAAGAGCAGCAGACTCTAATCTGGAGAACTGGGTTTGATTCCCCACTCCTCCACATGAAGCCTACTGGGTGACCTTGGGCCAGTCACAGGTCTCTCAGAACTCCGTCAGCCCTCACAAGGTATCTGTTGGGGAGAAGAAGGGAATGTGACTGTGAGCTGCTTTGAGACTCCTTAAGCAGAGAAAAGCCGGGTATAAAAACCTACTCTTGTTCTTTTTCTCCCTTGTGTGAAAGGAAGGGCACTTCTGCTGCACGGAGAGGATATCATTTATGTGTGTTCCCCTTCCCAGTGTAGCACAATGACTGCTGTGTAGTGTGTTTACCTCACCTCAATAGGACAATTGTCATGGATCATGTGCCAGGAAGCTTATGATATTGTGTCACTGACTTGTCATTCACCAAGAAACATATAAAACCATGCATCCAAAAGATGGGAACTCAAAGTTGGCTTGCTTCCTTGCTGCTCTGCATTGGACAGAGCTGAAACAAAGTCTAATACTGGCTTCATCCTTTTCTAGAATAGGGAAAATAAGCAAGCAACCCCCTCCCTGAGGCAGATGCTGTTCAGCACTTAGGTGTGTAGTAACTGCTCCTCACCATGGGTGAGCAGGTGACTACCAAACTCTAAGCCAGGGGTCTCCAACCCTTTTCAACTTGCAGGCCCCTTTGGAATTGTGACACAGGACGGTGTAGTCAACCCCAAAATGGCTGCTGCAGGAGGTGTAGTCAGCCCCAAAATGGCTATCATAGGAGGTGGAGCCAGTCACAAAATGTCAGGGAGTGAGGTTATGCATAACTCTACTGGTAACTCTTCAATATTTCAGGCAGAAGCTCTGTTTAGCGGGATGCCTTTAAAAAATGAACGTACTGTTTAAACATATTTTCTTACATATACACAGCTTACCTTCAGTCATGCAGTGAAGATTCTCGTATCTGATGGCAGCTTCTACTGAAGCAGCATTTTTTTAAAAATCTGCACAGCCTGCTGGGCAAAAGCTCCACCTGCCTCTGCCAACTTTCTAAGAACACTTGACGTGCCACCAGGAAAGGTGTTGGGAGGTGCCATTACGCCTATGGGTATCATGTTTGGAGGGCCATGCTCGAAGCCTGAAAGAGTGGCATCCAGTGTTCCCTCTAAGTTGAGTTAGTGTGACCTAGCTCAGCTTTCAATCCTCCAGCTCACACATTTTTGTCTTAGCTCAGGAAGGATGGCTCCAGAGCAAACTAATTTATGCGGCAGCCAAATCGCTCACTCACTACTTTAATGCAAAGTAGAATCTTTGCTCACAAGAATCCAAAGCTTAAGGGGAGCATTGGTGGGATCTTCGGTCTGTCCAGCTTGGTTTCGAGCAGCCCACTCAGATCAAGAAGACTGATTGAATAACATTCTGATTTTGTCCTCTGCATTGTCGGAATACCTCTAGCCCTGTTTTGTTCTCTAACTCAGCTGTCTTTTAACAGTGTTTCAAGAAATGGCTTGAATATGGTCAGACATAACCACAAGCAAGACAAGGGCCAGCTAGATTTCACCCTCTCTGGCTCATGTCATCCTTTCAACTTAAATACAGATAAAGCTTCTTGTTTATCCTCCAGTCAGGCTGGAGTGGGCTGATGTGGGTCTTTGCGCACCTTTATCTCCTTAGAGATGGGCCTTTCCAACCCTGCCTGTCTCTCTAGGTGGCATCAAGCTCTGAACTAGAACTTTTCACTTGCTGAGCAAGGTGATCTTTAACATTTTGACCTTCTCAAATAACATTCCACTGAAGGCCCAATGATGTTGCAGCCCTTCGTGGTGGAACTGCCTCTAGAACAGTGGTGGCGAACCTGTGGCACGGGTGGCACTCAGAGCCCTCTCTGTGGGCATGCGTGCCATCGCCCCAGCCAGGCCCAGACCATCATTAAAGTGTCGAATTCTCTGCCAAATAAATGAAAGCATTTGGGATTGCTTTTCTTAGGCCCTGTTCACACAAGGCGTTTTGGGCCGGGAGAGGGACGGATAGGGGCCGCATCAAATGGGCGCGATCACACAGCAACATCTGGCAATCGTGCCATGGCCGTCCCCAATCCGTCCCAACCACCCAAAACACACATCAAAGAAGAACCACCTATCTGGGTGGTTCAATTGAATGGGCCGCGGCAAATGCGGCCGTGGGATCCCCGGTGCGTCTTTTCGCCGGCGCATCCCCTGCCGTACTGCGCGTGCTCGAGCATGCGCAGTTCGGCAGCCTCCCCCTCCCACTCTTCCTCCCCGGCATCTGATCGTGCCGGGGAGCGATGCGCCGCGGCTGAGGGGATCCATGGGATCCCGCCGCGGCATCTCAAGTTTGGTGCGGCTCTGATTAGCCGCGTTTCAGCCGTCCCATGTGGCAGGGACCTTACTTTGTTTGGATCGTCTTAAGTTAATGTATGAGTTGTTTTTTCGAAAGTAAAACCTCAGTATTCAGGTTAAATTGCCGTGTTGGCACTTTGCGATAAATAAGTGGGTTTTAGGTCGCAGTTTGGGCACTCGGTCTCTAAAAGGTTCACCATCACTGCTCTAGAAGGTGGAGATCATGTTGAGATCCGGTATCAGAGCAGCTTACTGAATTTTTCAGCGTGTGGTAGTTCTTGCACCAAACTTTTAAAAGGCAAACTAAGCCGGAATACAATCCCCCACAGCCTATCTTGAGGAAATGCAACTGTGCTTCCATAGGTTATTATGGAGAGTGCTAATTTGCGCAGTGTTTGCTTTAAGCTATTGCCAAGCCTTCCACCACTGCTCTGTCATTGAACAAAATGGGATCTGCCATGTGTGGTGATTAAGCAGAGTCATATGACCCATATCCAAGTCATTTGTTTTAACAAGTTGTGTAATGGCTTGTACTTATTATAGAAGGGCATTTATGCATATTTGAGCTTGGAATTCCTGTGATCAAATGCTGTTCATTATTGAAGGCCATAATCTGGGTAGGAACTGCTTATCTTGCCGATTTTGAAAAAAAATTACAATCTTAGGGAATTTCTGCATTAAAATTCATTATTTTTATTTTAAAGAAACCTGTTAACATGTTAAATGACATGCTCGTCAGTGCTTTCATGGCAGTGGGAAGGAGCTTCGTTACTGGATTCTGAAAGTCCTTTGAATTAAGTAAATAGAAGTATATCCTACTGTACAAAGACAATTGGTCTCTAAGCATACTTGGGAAATGCCTAGTGAAATCCAATATACTTCATGTGTCTAATCATACTTAAGCCTGATATGAGAGGCATATACAGGTGGAGAGGTCTTGACACACTTTAAAAGTCTGGTCTTCCATATCCATACTTGGAAGTAAGCCTAACTGAGCATCATAGGGTTTGCTGTTGGGTAAATGTGTACAGGATACTGTACAGTTTGAGAGAGCCAGTTTGGTGTAGTGGTTAAGTGCACGGACTCTAATCTGGGAAAACTGGGTTTGATTCTCCACTTGCACCTGCTGGATGACCTTGAGCAAGCCATAGTTCTGGCATAGCTGTTCTTGAAAAAGAGCAGTTTCTGTCAGAGCTCTCTCATCCCCACCTACCCCACAGGGTGTCTGTTGTGGGGGGGGGGGAGGGAAAGGAGTTTGTAAGCTGCTCTGAAACTCCTTTGGGTAGTGAAGGGCAGGATATAAATCCAATCTCTTCTTCTACTGCCCTCAATTTTGATTTCCATCTGCTGAAGCTGCAAAGGCTTTAAATACACTGAAGGAATCTTGCAATGCAATAAATGCAGAAGTGTTTACCTGAAAAGGGATTTGTCTTGTTTTTTCAGTATGGCGAAGACTGCCGATATCAGCAGTATCCTCCGACAGGAGCAACGTAAGTAACATAATAAATTACAGCTTATAGTAGCAGGTGCAAGGACAATTCTTTCTTCCCCCTGGCTTAATCAAATATGAACAGGTTGCACTGAGCCAGCACTGTGAAGTTGCTACAAGTAAAGTGAATATTATTGTGAGTTGCGTCAGCAGAAGCATTTTATTATAGATAAAAGAATTAGAAGTAATTTACTTATTGCTGGTCAGGTGTCCATGAGACTGTCGTCTAGTTCTAGCCAATTTTTGGCTCCTCCCAGGGAACAATAGGAAAAGCACTCCTCTGCTTAAGTATAATAAAGATGTACTTGTGATGAAAGTCACATAGCTTAACTATAATTGAAACAGTGTGAAAAATTACCTGTAAAAATTGTGGAATACAAGGAGGGAGGAGGGAAAATACCAAGTGGAAACAGCTGAAAGATAGTGAGTGATTCATATATAAAGGATATTGCATGAATTTTGTGGAATTTGCCTTTTTCCAGGTTCAGAGGGAGCGTTCCAGATTACATAATCAATCTTGACTTGCCACCTCGTGAAAGATGGGTCCAGTTGGCACATGAGAAGAAAGATGAGGTACTGAACTTCAGGGGCTGGGAGGAGCGAGTCTCTCTCAGATAGGTTTTGTGTCTTGTCTTTAAAGAAAAGCAAAATAATTGGGGCTGCTGGCATAGATGTCATAAATGATGTCAGACGTATGTCTTGCCGGGAAGCTGGGAATGCAAACTGAAAATTCCATATTAGAGAACTATGTTCAACTCGCATGCTGTTTTACCATTTTTAAGGCTACGTTTCTTGGGTTTGTAGGCCTGAATAGCTAGAATTCTTAGAGGAATGAATGTTCCGTGAGTAAAAGCTGGGGCCCTGACTCACTGCAGGGAGGGGGGAGGGAGAGTCAGCCATGGCAGTCCTTGCCAGGCGGAGGAGGCGAGCCAGCAGCAAGCACGGGAAGCTTGCACCAGTCTTGGGTGTTGGGGGCCAGGGGGCCCTGGCTGTTACTCAAGGCACTGCACCACCCCCGCTCACCATCTTTCGGCATTGAGGGACTTGGCCCACCCTCCCAGCCATTTAGTTTGACGTCATTTGAAGGGGTTTGCATGTGGGCTTGTTTTGTTAATTTTCCTTGTCACAACTTGGCGATGTCAGCATGGGGCCGGATCCATGTATCAGGAAAGCCAGCCTGCGTGCCCGTTTTCCTGAGTTTGGAGATCCTCGTAAGGGATCTGGGCGTGAGGGTCTAGTGGTATGCTTAGCCCAGGGGCACGGCCAGGGATTACCCTCATGCTTGGGTGGCAAGGGAGACCACCTTGGGCCGTCCACCCTTGTGGGATCCAGAAGCCTGTCATCCCGAGGTTACCAGTGGATCATCAACTAGCAGGCGGGTCAGTCGATGAACTGGAACCGGTACCCCATGCTGTGCCAAAGCAGACTACAGCTGTAACCAATAAAGTTGTGGCAAATCTTATTCCACGTTTCTGTAAAAACTTTGAGTGCGGGTGTATTATTTCAACTGAAGTGTAAGCGGGGTTAGCATGTGGTCAGGTATGGAGGGCCTCTTCGCCTTTGGCCCCTACCTCACCCTTCCCCTTGGCCTTGGGGCGCAAGTCAAACCTCCAGTAAAGTAAATCTGCCTAGGGTTGAGCCATTGAACTGAAAATAAATTTCTGGGTTTGTGGAAGCGTCAGAGAGTTATGGAGATTATTTCTTTTTTCATGCAGATTGAAAGGGCATAATCTCTTCCTGTTCCCTTTGGCGGTGCTTGTGGTTGCGTCTTGAGACAGACCAGACACGCCTGCTTCAGATGCAAGCAAAGCCCCAGAGTGTCTGGTTTTCCCTGAGGTGTCCATTGCCACCAGCCAAATCTCTAAAGGCTGCAGTGCATCAGATAGTCAGAGCCTTAAGAGGTCACCTGACCGAAACCATCCTTGCTCTTACCGCAGTTTCCAGATTGAAATTAGTGGCCTGGAGTCAGAAAACTGTGAGGAGAGCCCTGCTCACTCACTGACTTGGTTGGATCCAAATACTCTCTCTCACACACACACCCCAGCCCATACCACTGGCAAACCTGCACTTCAGGGGCAGGGACACCATGGAATGCAGCAGAAAGAGATCTTGTCAGGACAGGGAATCCATGGAAACTGTATTCCCCCACATGAGCAGAAGTGCTCTTTCCTTTTCATAAGATTGGGGGGGGGGGTAGTATTTGGGTCCAGACTCTTCCATTTTATCCAGACTCTCATTAATTGACTTTCTTGTGGGGTGCATGCAGGTTTTATGTGTTTCTGCTTCTTAAGTTTCACTGTCCCACAAAATAGTAATCTGTGCCTTTTTTAAAAACTTTGTAGCTGAAGACCATAGTTGAACATATCAAAAAAGTTATGATTGTGTTCTTCCCAAGTGGCAAACTGCTACACTTGTTGGAATCAAAAATGGTGAGTACTTTCCCCAAAGATCTGAGACTTGTGATAAAGTGTGGCTTATTTATTAAATGTGTATTTGAAACGTTTATAGCCAGCCTTTTTCCTAACAAGTTCTTGACTTCAGTCTTGAGTTTAAAAGTGACCCCTCCCCTTCTGATGATCTCCTGTTGACAATTTGTTAAAAAAAATACAGCCACACAACACAGAGTTTGTAATCTTATAACCTCTGGCTATGTTGGAATCTTTCACTTTGGAAAGAGGGATGAGAGGTTAAACTTTTTGTCTGTTATCAGAAAATGTTTTTGACCACTTGCAATCCAAAGGGGACCTGTGCAGTTGGCCACTACATCTTCCTCAGGGTTCCAAGTCCTTTGTCTTTTCTTGCTGTCTACAATTCCACATGATACTGTTAGGCCACGACCCCGTCCTCTCTTGGAAGGACAAGCTTGGTACACAAGCATCCTTCCCTCTCTTAGCATCTCACGGGGTCACTCACTCAAGACTCTTCCCTGTTCTGCAAATACGAGATCAAAATAGGTCTTACAGTCACATGGAATTCCCCAACAAACTCAGGAGACCCTCACAACCACTTAGGGTAACAATGCAGTTTCCGTTATTTAAACAAGTTGTAGAGAGAGGGATGGGACTTTGAAGAATCTCCTGCAACCGTATCCCACAGCTTTAGCTGTTGTAAAAGGCCATAAGACTTTTGTCCTCCTTTTGTTAAGAAATGTGGTCTAGATAAAAGTTAAGCTGTTCTTTACTCGTTTTACCACATCTTTCAAATTATCCTCAAACTTCTAACTTCTACACTAGGCCTCTGAAGGCCACAAGACATGTGACAGATTATACCCCACCAGCTTTTCCACTGGCCCCAGGGGAAGGAGGGCTTCTTTTTGACTCACAAAAAAGGCTATGCTGGGGAGATTATGGGGCCTAGGCTGCAGGGGAACCGGACAGGGTTGCCCTTGTGCTCCCTTGCAGCCCTGGAAAAGCTAGTTAAGAGCCGACCAACCCTCCGTATTTTAGATGTGCATTCTGAGAGCGGAAGATGCTTATATCATAAAGTCATTGGCAATCCGTGCTTGTCTGCACCTCCTAAGGATTGTAGGTTCACTGGCAAACTTAAGTAACTTGGACTCACGGGTAACATCTGAAATGGCCTCAGGTTCCCGTAACATGTTTTGCTTACAGTTCCTGAAATAATCAGTACTAGAAGAAATTAGAAACAGAAAAATTCAAACTAGAAAGTCATTTAACCAGTTAATATCTGAAATGTTAAAAACATGTCTTCTCCTTTTAGGCTTGGTTAGGATCTACCCTTCCTTATCCTTTCAATGAAGAGATCGAAGGCATTGCTCACGCAGCTGAAGTTGGATTAGGTAATCTGTGTTGTTGTGAAATTGTTATGAAATTGCACTATATAAATATATTGCTCTGTGTGTGTATCTGGGGAGTTCATTGAATTAAAAAGTTGTAGACTTTGCAGAGAGCTTTGTTAAGAATTCCATCTTTACATTGGCTGCTTTGGGGGATAATGTTTTGGTTTTCATGTCAGTTGCCTATTTTACTTTATTATAAATTAATTAATGTACCTGTTATTTGTTAGGAAGAATTAGGGTATATGGATAGCTCTTTTATTAATCATAGCTAACTGATATCTGTATGGCCTCCTTAAAAGTTTGGATTAGCTCTTGTGGTATTCAATACTATGAATAATTAGCCAAATCAGAAGGCATTTCAAGAGAGAAACTCTATGCATGTTATAATTGCTCAAGAAGGCATGGAATATAATAGGCACATATGTTTCTGTTCTATATCCCACTGTCAAAACATCTCATGGGGCTACAGAATATGTAATTGAGCAGCCATCTTTTTTTTATATGGTGTTTACAACCGTAAGGTTTCAACTCATGCCAGTCAGTTTTTACTGCTAAAGCCCTGTTTAGAAGGTACCACTTTTTAAAGAATTGTTAGAAGGTGTCACTAGAGCCAGGTTTGTGCACATATGGCTGGAACTGAAGATGTTGGTCACTGATTACTGTGCTGACCCATCTATGATTTGCCAAGGAAGGATCTGTTTGGAGACTTGTGAATTCAGGGCAGGACCTTGATTTGATTAAGTTTATACTTTCTGATAGTATTATAATGAGAATAGTTAAATTCGGTTTTCAGGCCTGTAAGCCTTGTAAGGAATTAATGAAGATTCATATCCTTCATTGCGAAGTCAAAGATGTATGTTATGTTTTACTCTTTTCACACTGTTGTGACAGACTTTCAAGGGTTAATGCCTAACAGAGGCTGAGAACCTTTGAGTGACAGGCTGTTTGGAGGAATTCTGTTGAGAGAGTCAGTTAAGGAATGACAGTTGGGGACTGACTGTTGAGGAAGAGACAGTTAAGCACTGACAGTGTACTGGAAGGAGGCTAAGAGTGTAAGTGGATTGAGAAGGATCCTCATTCAAGCCAAAGGAGGGAAATAGCTTCTAGAAAAGAGGAACCGATCCTTGGTTTGTGGAACGTGGTTGTATGTTCCTGCCTTCTAAACTTTACATTTCATTGAAACTCAGGAACATATGCTTGAGTGTTTAAGACTTTGAGGAGAGAGGCTTTCTTTTCAGTTTCTTCTTAAAGACCTTATTGAATAGCAGAAACATTTACTTGTTGGCAACAAATTATCTGGTGTTTATGTGAATACAACGTTACCTCAGTTTACCTGATTATTACATCCTCCACCTGACTCTACCTGATCTTTTATCCTCCAAGTTTTATCCTCCATTTTATTTATTTTGAACTTTCAAAAGCCTGTCATGTACCATTTCAAAAGGATAATAAAAGAAGGTGATTTTGTCTCTTCCCTCAGTTCCCTGGGCTGGACCTGTGTGTGTATGTGTGTGTATGTTAGTGTGTCTGTGTATGTGTCTGTGTATGTAGACACACACACCTTTCTGTCTGTCTGTCTGTCTCTCTTGACTGGGTGGGACAGCCATACAAACCCATAGGAGGAAAACAGATAAAGGGGCTGCTCAGCAAGAAAGTAGATAGAAGGGGAAATCCTGTGTATGAGGGAGGGAAGAGGGTGAGATTGTCATAACTGTGTATACTGTTATGCTGTTTTGATATCTTATGTCTGTTCTAAGCAGTTGAAATGCTTTCAGTTGACCATTTGAACAGAGCTGACAAAACTGAATTGGATCCAGCCAGCTTTTTAGCTCAACCTCCCCCAATTATTTTGCTTACTTTAGCCCAATCTCACATGGCTTTTGTCTAAACAGGTCCCACAATCTGCAATATAGACTTTTTGGTGGTCAAAGGGGAACCTTCTTCCCTTTTTCACCTTCTGAACAAGCTGGTTGGATCTACCTCCAGTAAATATACTAGTGTTGCTGCAGTAGGATATTTTAGCCACTCTGGCAAGCCACACTGGGTTTTGATCACTGTTCCCTCTAAGCTCAGTTAGTGTGAGATAGCTCACAGTTTTTTAGCCTTCAGCTCGCAGATTTTTGTCTTAGCTCAGGAAGGAGGGCTCCAGAGCAAGCTAATTTATGCGGTAGCCAAATTGCTCGCTCCCAACTTTAATGCCAGTAGCTCACAAACTAGAATTTTTGCTCACAAGACTCACAGCTTAGAGGGAGCATTGGTTTTGATCGTATCCAGGAGTGCTCTGTGTACATGGCTGAAACTGCATGTCTGGAACATAATTTGATTAACGTGGAGGACATGATGTGGTGTTGTGTCTCCTGAGTGAAAGGCAATGCAACTTAGTTGGGAGCAAACCTCCAATTTGTGTATGTTCTATGTTCCCTTCAGGCATAAAAATATTTGAGAAGGGCTGTGCCTGTACCTGTAGGCTGCTCTCTCAATTAAAGCTGTTCAAGATACAGGTTATCTGCTTCCTGTAACGTATAATTCAGAAGGATGTCATTACCCTGTTAATTCAAAACCTGAAATGAGGGAGCAGCTTCAGATGTTACACAGAGGAGTGGAAACAGCACAGGCTAGTAACTTGCATAACCTGTCTCCAAGAAACATGTTGGCCAAACCAAAGATGATTGAATTGGCATTTTAAACATGGGGGTGGGCGGAAGGATCTCCAAATCACTGAAGGGTCTTCGTTTCAGCCTTCCTGGGTAATGTCTGTCCTTCTGGGGTTCTGCCTTCTGGTAGTCTGTGGGTGTGTGGTTTGGAGTGTCCGCAGTGGAAGGGCCCAGCAATGTTCAGAAGATGTCTGCCACCTTCTCCTTTTCCCCCTCCTGCTTTGCTCTGTTCAGTTCAGTTTTATTACATAGGGCCAATGCCCATTACAAGAGGTTAACACTAAAAAAAAATGTATACAGTAAAATACAGTACAGTGAGACTGAGTTAAAAGACTATGAAAATTATATTTTAAAAATTGTTTCATAGGCCCTGTTCACACGAGGGGTTTTGGGCCGGGAGCGGGACGGATCGGAGGCGGAGCAAACAGGCGCGATCCCACGGCAACATCTGGGAATTGTTGCCTGCCCGTCCCCGATCCGTCCCTCCCGCCCAAAAACCCGCACTAAAAAAGAACCACCTACCTAGGTGGTTCTTCGGAGAAGAGCGCCTCAAGCCGGCCGTATGCTTGAGCATGCACAGTTCGGCAGCCTTCCCCCTCCCATTCGTCTCTTTCTCCCCGGCATCTGATCGTGCCAGGGAGCGATCTGGGGATCCGTGGGCTCCCGCCGCACGTCTCAACTTTGGTGTGGCTTTTAGAAGCCGCACTTTCCCCAGTGTTTTCCCTGCCGTGTGGCAGGGGCCTTAATAGAACAGGATGACTCCCATAAGCAACTGACCTATGCTGACACCAGCTTGATCCGAATTTTCTTTATCGCTAAGGCAAAAAGGGTGACATATGAGATCTGATTCCATGTCTGCAAGTCAAAATACGACTCGTTCCATCACAGTGCTGAGGCCTAAGATGGCCAAGCTCCTGCTTTGCATAAAGTTTTGTGTTGAATAGTCAATGAAAACAGTGGTCTTTTTTTTCTTTCCATTTTGACATCTCTTTACTTTTTTTATTCAGGTGACATTGTTGTATTCAATGTCTTCTACGAAATCTTCACGGTGTGCACTTCAATAATAGCAGAAGACAAAGCAGGTAAGGGTTGCTTAGCCACCGCTGTTTTTTAAAAATATTTTACTCTTAAGGTATTTTTGTCATTGATTTATATGATCTTTTTGTCTCTTCCCCCACGCCTGCTTCTCAACCAGGAAAGCTGTATCACGCTAGAAATCTTGATTTTGGGCTCTTTCTTGGGTATGTAATACTAATGTGACTATTTTTTTTGTTGTTATTACCATTTTAATCAATAAATCAGGCCCTTCATTAATGACACACCTGTTCTTAATTATGGTAACAAAAGGATAAAGGCTTCACCTTCTCAATAACTGTGTGGCATCTTTGGGCTCATATAGAGAAAATAATGTCCATGCGCTGTCACATCTCTGTTCCATTTTCTAAAAATGGAGATTACTGGAGTGGCTGTGCCATGCAAGCATTGGGGGAGTGGGTGGAAGGAGCTTTGAACTGAAAACTGGATGCAGAGCCCTGTAATTATCTGAAAGGCAGGGTGGAAACTAGCTGTTAAAGCAGATCTCTGACTGCCACTAATCACAGCAGTCCCCACCATTTATTTATTTTTTTTAATTTGTTCAATTTATACCCCGCCCTCAGTGCTCAGGGCGGCTTACGTGGAAGATAAGACACATAAGTAACAATTGTGACAATCATAAAACCATCTAAAACAATTCAGTATATAAAACAATTCAATGTCATAAAGTGCTAGCAGGATCTATACGAATACTATTGCTTAAAGATGGTGGCAGCGATCATATTAATGTATTCAGTTGTCTGCCATGATAGCTCATTGATCTTTCCCAAATATACGTGGTAGACACAGGCTGTAGGTGGCAAAACTGAGGGACAGGGCTCTATGTCTTCTAGTTGTTGTTGGCAGTGGCTCCTTAATTGAAGGCTTGGTGGAAGAGCTCCGTCTTACAGGCTCTGCAGAACTGTAGAAGGTCCCAATGGCCCCTGATCTCTTCTGGGAGCTCGTTCCATCTGTATGGAGCCACCACCGAAAGGCCCTGGCCCTGGTTGTGGCCAGCCTGGTGTTCTTGGGACCCAGGAGGGACAGCTAATTTTGGGACCCTGACCACAGTGCTGTCTGGGGACCATATGGGGAACAAAGATGTCATGCTGCATATTTTGTATTATGAAAATTACTGAGGGGAAGAAGAAGACGAGGAGGAGATGCCACAGGTCTGCTGTTTTTGGTGGAAGTTCAGCTTCTCCCATCATGACCAGCTTCTGAAAGGATTGCCATCATTGCCATGCGAGGAGCATGGGCAATATTTGGTAAAATCTGTGAAGCCGAAGAGTGGATAGATGGGATTTTTTTAGTGAGGACTGGGCTGCCGTTCTTTGCATGGTCTCTTATTTCTCTTCACGGGAGGTGACTGGGTTGTTATAATAGCCCTGGGCCACATCACCCCTCCAGTGGTGGTGCCGCTGCAGGGTCTGCTTGGCTCAGTCTTGAGCCATGGCGAAGGTCACAATAAGTGTAGGGTCACTTCTGGGCCGCTTAGCTCAGCTTGCTTGAGGTCGTCAATGACCCTACAGGTCCAGACCCTTTCCACGCGAGCTAAACGCCATCCCATTCTGGTTTCCCCATGCCTCCCAGTATAAATTAGCAGTTGTTATAATTTATACAGGTCCAAAGAGTCCGCTTTTCTCGGTGTAGAATTTTGCTCAGTGTGAAGTAAGTTTTTATATGTGTGTTCTCATTTTGAAGAACAGACATCCCAGATTTTAATTTTTGTGCATGAAAATGAAAAGGTTTCACGCATCTGGCAAGTGGTCCGTGTCTCTGTTGCTGTAGGAGAGCCACATCTGTTCAATAGGATTAAGTATGCAAACACCGTGTGTACTTAAGGCAATACGTTTCTTGCAGGTGGGATATTAAAAATAGTTCCTGGATTGTAACACAGATATTGAAACCCTTAATGGTGTCACTGGATTTTCAGCGGAACAATAAGACAGTCTTCCGTTCTGCAAACTTGGCAGGCTACGTGGGAATGGTATCTGGAATCAGACCGGTAAGAACTCCTTCTTTTATTCAAGATTGGGAATAATTTTGCGTAAAATGTCTCCCAGAGACACACAATGCCATACTTTACAAAGGTGATAGAATACAAACCTAGTATTTCCGAACAACCTAGGGTTAGTTGTTCTCTCTCAGTCTAATCTACCTGGCAGGGTGGTTGTGAGGACAAAACTGGGTAGGAGTGATGAAAACAGCTATACTACACTGAGATCTTTGGAGGAAGGGTGGGATAAAATAATGTAGTAAGTAATAAATGTAGTAATAGTCTTTTACAAAAGACTATTGCTGAAGATGCTACTCTTGCTACAGACTTACACGTTAAGAGATAAGGATATCGTCCTTTGTCCCGTAGACCTATAATTTTTGGTGACAAGACTTGAGACTTGGTACATACTTATATGTTAAGAGATAAGGATATTGTCTCTTGTCCCAAAGACCTATAATTTTTGGTGACGAGACAAAGTCCAAAGGTAAGAAATGTTTAAACGGTGCACAAAGCTTGTATTCTGCAAACAGACATATGTTTTCCTGCCACAACCGGAAGTACTGAGGAGGCAACAAGAGCTCCCACAGGCCAAAATTCATCCTTTGACAGGTTGATTTCTCTTGTGTTGGAATGTGGGCCTGATAGGAAGTAAACTTCATGCTCGAGTTTTGACCACCTTAGTGCAAAATATGTTCAGTTTTTCTGATCTTCCTTGCTGTCCGTATGCCTTCATCTCTGTGTTTGCCAGAATTCAACTTTGCTTTCAGTTTTTGTGTTATACTGGAAGTATTTTGATCATTCTGGCCTGCACTTTGACTTACACGGTTTTGAAGAAGAGGTTAGAAATGTCCTGGGTCCCCCCCCCCCCACACACACAGATTTTTCTAGAGATTCCCAGGTCTTTGTCTCCACATGCGCCAAATGTCAGAGATTTGGCTGACCGCAAAGCAGCCAAACAATTTTGGTTTCTCTGTCAAAGTCAGTAGGTGAGCCCCCAGTGTATATATAAAATATAAAGGATCTCCACGGTCCAGCCGTTTGAAGAATTTCTTAACACAAATAGTCCCATGTACAGATTTAGAAAATAGAGGATAATTCTTCAATACCGGTAAAACTTCTGTTTACTAACTTTATATTTTAGGGCATTTTTACTCTGACCATGAATGAGCGTTTCAGTATTGATGGAGGTTATATTGGTGAGTAAACATTTTTATCCATAAAAGAACAGTTATGAGGCATAAGCTTAAATGAGTAAATGACTTGTATTAACACAGTGGCCTCAAACCTTCAGTTACACAAGAGATGCACACAGATGGAAGAAATTGCAGTGAGTTGCATGATATATGTGCCACTCAGAAGCCGTTTGACACAACAGAAACTACACACCTAACCTTATTTATCTGGAAACAAAGCTGCCAGTTTCCCTACTAGGTAAACTTGATAAGGGCTGGTTGTCTAAGGCTGCAATCCTGTGCACATAAACCCATTGAACGCTATAGCTTGGATCCAGCTGAAAAATACTGCTGACAGGAGGATTTCCATCAACAGAGCATGTCTTTTCTTACTCCCCCCCCCCCATGCTGCTGTTCCTGTGAGTCCCCAGAAGCGTGATGGGGAGTTGAAGGTCTGCAGTGGGGGGCAGAGGTCAGTGGAAATCACACCTCCCCTTCCACCTGCAGAAAAGTTAGGCAGCATCCAGCCCATTAAGACGTGCTTCTAAGTAAGCATGCATAGGAATGTACTGCAAATAAGTTATGTTTTAAAACTCTTCTGACTTGTGTTTCTCACAGGAGTCTTTGAGTGGATCTTTGGCAAGAGAGATGGGTGGTGGATGGGCTTCCTTACTAGAAGTGTCCTTGAAAATAGCACAAGGTAATCCTTGAAATCCTTAAGTACTTTATCTAGGAAAATAAGTGTAGCGCTGTTGCAAATAACTTTCAGTTCCTTTGTGCTTTTATAATGTCTCTCTCAAAAAATCAAGAGACAGTAGCTTTAGGGTCATCAGAGATCAAAGTAATTGGGTGTACGGGAAAGATTGAGTCTTGTTTTAATGGGCAAAATGCTTCAGTGCCAGCCTTTGAACTGCTTAACTTTAATGTTTTGACGCAGTTGGCGCAAAATGAAAAAGACCTTCTGAGCAACCAAGGCTTGGCTGTTAATCGGCCAGGTTTTCTGTGATAGCCTTTTGGTTCATGCCTTACTATCTCTGTCCCAGCTTCTTCTGCCCCAGGCTCAAAAGCTGCAGACTGGAAACAGATGGGAGAGCTCTAGGGTTGTCAGGTCCCTCAAAGTCCCCAGTGGGGGACTTTGGGGGGGGTGTTACTGGAGGGGGTGGGGGGGCGTTCCCAGCGTGATGGCATCGCATTGGGGAGCAGAGACCCCCTGCCTCTCCCCAGCAGAGCATTTAAACACTTCCCTTAAACGCTGCTGGGGAGAGGTGGGGGGGAGGCCGTGCGCGCCTGTACTCCAAGCCCTGAATTCAGGGCTCAGAGTGGAGGCACACGGGCCCCCCGCCTCTCCCCAGCAGCGTTTAGAACCTTCCTTTAAACGCTGCTGGGGAGGAGGCTGGGCAGTCGCCCTTGAAGGTGGGGCTTTCCCCCACCAGCTGGCTGGTAGGCGGGAAGGAGCCCCTCCAAATCGGGAAACCCCCACCAAACTGGGGGGGGGGTTGGCAACCCTAGGGAGCTCCCAGTCTGAATGCTGTAGCAACTTTCAGCCTTGACTGTGAATGGATATAGTAGGTAGCATCAATGGACGCTATTGTTTGGAGTCCCCTGGGGCTTCCAGAGGGGGCTCCTGTGGTGTATCTTCCTTCCTTGATGCATTCATCAATAAAGGAGATATTCTAGCTTCTCCTGGCCTGTCTTCAGCTGTTCCTGGAAGTGATGGGATGAGATAACTCCGGTTTCTTCATTCCCTCTGACCCAAGATTTCAGTGTTTGCTCTTGTGCACTGGGCCATGTAGCGCATTCCCAAGGCTGCAGCTCACTGAGTATTAAAGGGATCGACTTCACACTCTGCCTATTGTACGTTGTTGGTTCATGTCTTTGTTTCTGTTGTCTGTAGCTACGAAGAGGCAAAGGACAGACTGACCAATGCGAGACTGCTGGCTCCGGCTTATTTCATATTGGCAGGAAACCAATCTGGACAGGGAAGTGTGATTACACGTTCCCGAACTGCTGCCCTAGATGTTTGGAAGTAAGTATGATTTCCCCCCCCCCCTTTTTTTTCTTTTCTGGTGTGTGTGTGTGTGCGCACGCAAGCTTGTGAGCCTGGATGTCATGGTGACTTCTGGCGACCCCTAACGGGGCTTGGATGCCTCTTGTGTCCTGGCCCTGATATTCCTTGGAGGTCGCCATTCCAAGTAATTGCCAGGGCTGGCCCTACTTAGCTTCTGAGATTTGACAAGATCAGGCAGGGTGGGAGTAAGTGTGTTTGGATTGATGTTGAAGCTGTATCTCACTGCCTGCATGACAGATGTGCTTGTGTGTCATCAGGCTTGCTGAACGAACTGATGTTCATTCACATACCAGGCAGCATTATTAATCTCTCTCTACAAGGGTCTAGGAGGTACATTTGCTGTACTTTGGTGTCTCTAATCAGTTTTTATCTTTCACAAAGTAACATTCTTTTAAAAACGAATCCTGGCTGTTAATAGCAATGAGCTCTCTTGTAATGTTAGATCTGTGGGGGATATCTTGCTTGCTTTAGGTGACAGAGTCCTGTTGCTGATGCATTTGATTTTTGATATATATATTTTTACTGTGTTTTCTTGGTGGAAAATACATGATATTTATTTATCCTTCTTTCAAGCCTGAATGCAAGTTTTGGGACCTGGTATGTGCTAGAAACCAATTACGATCGCTGGAAGGTTCCATTGGCTGTGGATGATCGGAGGACCCCGGCAATGAAGTGCATGAACCGAACGATGCAACAGGTAGTTTTGTGAAATGTGAAAGTAGTCACTTTTAGATTCCATCATTAGTTTTCTAATAGAGCCACCCTAAGCAGTTAATCCTCTTTAAGGCCGTTGATTCCAATCAGCTTAGACGGGTGTAACTCCAAAATCCAGGATGCAGCTTTGCTCAGTCAGGACAGAAGTTAAGATCCGTCATGAAGGCGTTCTAGTAGCCAAAGAACCATGATACGTTAGCACTTCTGCAATCTCCCACAGGCAGAACAAATCTGTAACGCTGACAGGGCAGCCTTCTGTTTGTTGATTTTCACCTAGGCTTTTGAAGACTGTGGAAGTATAGATTCATCTCCTCCCAGATATAACTTTTTATGGGGAAAACCCAGTCCTATAGGATAATCTGAAGGACTCTTGTTTTAGGAATAACAAGTGGAGACCCGCAACAAAATGTTGCCTACTGTGTTCTAGTTGGGTCTCCACTTGTTCTCTCCCCCCCCCCGGCTCCGAGCCCCACAGCCCGGAGAGGGAGCCCGCCCCACTCCTCAAGAGCGCCGTCTAGCGGGCCCTCCTCATGGGGGGGAGGCAAGTACCCCCCATCCCGCTGGTTCCCCCGTGTCCTCCACCCCCCCTTGCCTTCTACCCCCGGCTCCTCGCCAT